TAGTAAAAGTTGTTTTTTTTTTTGTTTTCTTGAAATTAGGATTAATAGACGGGTCTGGCTGACAGGCAGTTCTGGTATGTGAACATCACTGGCTTTTACAGTTTGTTTATTTAGAAGTTTGAATAAATGATAAGGAAAAGTAAAGTAATAAAAAACACTCATACGGAAATAGTAACCCAAATATGCATGCAGAATCAGAACCATTACGTAAATATGTGTGTTTTCGCAAATAAATAAATAGTTGAAATATTTCTAGTTTTTTTTTTTTTTTTTCTTTAAACGGATCGAGCAGAAGAGAAACTAGGAGAATGTGCGAGAAAAAGGACTGATTGATTCAACCAGTAAACAGATTTTTTTTTATTACTTCGATTTGCTCTATAAAATTTTTTATAGCGTTCCTGAAATTCTTTGGCCATCTAACGATAGCAAATGCGGAATGCCTTTCTCGTTTTCCAAAATTCTTGGATTCATTGCTGGATTCTATATATCATTTTGACCGTCTGGATGCTTCACTGCGTCTTAACGTCTTTGATACATTTGGCGCTGTTGGATCTTCTGCTGCGGCGAAAAAATTTTTGGATCGAAAAAGCGGTACTTGCATATTCTTCAGTTCACCGACATATAAACGGCACCAGAAATCCATCTTTTTGACTCATTTTTATTATTTAGTGTTAATATTATCATCATTATTATCATTGCCTTTATTATGATTCTTATAGACGTTAATATTGACTTAGTTATGAGAGTTATCACTGTTATTTTATCACTTCATCACTCTCTATCCATTTTTATCAGTGCTACTACTATTGTTCTTATTTTTCCGCAATGCTAGTAACTTAAATCACCTGCGTCATCACTAATAATTATAATAACAATAATGCTAGTTGTAGTAATAACATTAATAATAATGATAATAACAGTGATAACAGTAGCAATGATAATAATGACAATGGTAATGATGACAAATAGTAATTGTAATAATGGCATTCCATTGTTTTGAAAAATTTTTTAAATTTTACCCAACTTTCCTCAAAAAAAAATTTTTTTTTGAAAGAAAGTTTGATAATAATTATCATTTTGTAGAACTATTCCGCATCGAACAAGTGATGAATTCGTTTGGTGTTGCGATCGCAAGTGGTCCAATTGATTTGCGAGTACGGCATATTGATGCACTGGCAATGCTTTTGCGATTCAGAGACGGAGAGGTAATTTAACAGTAATTTGCCCCTCATAATTGAGTGATTTTTGGTGTAAAGTTTCTTAGGGCTTGCACTTCCCAGGAGGAATTTTCCATTGATAGCGCTCCGAACGATTCTTTTGAACGTGCCCTTCCTGCAATTTGTTTTTTACAGTGCTTTAAAATTTAACGCCTCTACGGCCAAAATTTATCGTCAAAGCCGCTTAGGCCCTGACCCGAAAAGAATGCCCGGATCTTTCCAGACCATCATGCGCCCCGTACTCTGCCAAGGCTAATCGCAGCCACGTCCCTCGTGATGCAGCCGCAGCTCTCACGGGAATGATGTGATGTTACCAAGGCAAATCCGAATGTCGTCGGAAATAGCACGTTGGAGAGGGAGGGACGAGACATAAAAGAGGAACGCGAAATAATGAACAGTCCGAAGAGGTTCTCCTCTTCCTGTGTCACGTGCACTGCAACCATCATACTGACGAGGTCCTGGCGCGGTGTTGAGCTAAGACGTATATGACTTAATGGACCGAAACGTCTTGTCTTACTCTTACCTTCTTTTCTCACACTGTTCTTTAATGCTGTAATCTGTTGCGCCTTCGCCATTTGGGGTTCCAGGGTCAACCTGGTTGCTACAGTCGGCTTACCGTGCTTGCCCATTCTGTACATAGAATGTTACATATTATGTCCTTATCAGTAGTAGTAAGCAAAAACTTCTGTATATCCGACATTTACCTTAAATTCCGAACGATTCTGGTAGTGTGTTGTAATTTGCCGAGTCCATAATAAATCTGTATGCGTAGGATCACGAAACGGAAGCGATTGCAAACAAGTGGTATAAATGGCTTGGTGATCCATTCTCATCCATGATTGTTGCATACCTCATCAGACCATTTCCTGATCTTCGGATGGCATCGTTACGATTGGTATTAGAGCTGATTGGATATAAATGGGCGGTTGGAACACTCTGTCGCACCTCAAAGTTTGTGCATTTTTTTAACACCGTTCTTTTTCGAGCATTTTTACGGTATTTTGTAATTGCAAAGCCGCATTGTTGGGAAGGGGGGGGGGGCATTTAATATGTTCTTATACTCGTATTCAGGTTTTTCAAGCTTTCTTACCATGAATAAGCTGTAGAATTTGCATAGGGGTGCTGCTGCAATGACTGTTAGTGTATCGGATAGTTTAAAAAATCCCAAAATTTTTTAAGTTGTGAAACGAAAGACTGAGAAGCAGCTGAAGGGCAGCAGTGCAGTAATTTACCTAAAATACTTAAAACAGCTATAATTGACAGTCTGGTACTGATCCTAAAAATTTTTTAAGCTTTTTGGATAATGTAATGAAGCGAGAGATTGAGACAACAGCTGAGGGGCGACAGTGCAGATATGATATTGTTTGCAAACTGATTGATAATGGTGAAACGATCATTCCACCGGAAGATATGATCAAACTGAAATTGTTCCGTCGTGAGGGGGCATTTTTTGTGGAACGAAAACCGATGATCGATATGGAAAACGACTAAATTCATTGGAATATCTGGATTTCAAGCAGCAGCTGTATGTCAAAATGACGCTTGTTATTATGTGATATGTAAAAGCCAATATCAATTTTTTGAATAGCTTTTAATTTTTATTTAAAAACTTAATAGGTAATTTCATCAACAAATTAAAGATTGCTCTTCCAAAATGCCAATCGATGCTG